GACCCCCTCGCCACCCCCATCCCTCTCCCAGGCTGACCTTGACCCTCGCAGAGGTCTCCTGCGCCCAGCAAGGACGTAAAGTATTGGATTTTCCGTTCCCACCCTGCCTCCCCCGAGGGCTCAGCTGGGAGCCCGGCTGCATGCCAGCTCAGGATGGGGGGTTGGGAGGGTGGGATGTCCCCGCCTTCCCAGCTCTATTTTTGCAGCACAGGGCGTCTCCAGCATCCAGGGCCAATAATATTTTAACCTCCTCATCCGCATCCCGGGACGCAGCTCTCAGCCGGGGTAGGAAGGGGGGTGGCTGAGACCACTCATGACGTGCCAGGCCAGTGGGGGGGTGCTGGCACTCACAGCTGCCAGTTTGTCGAAGCGGGCGAAGAGCTCGTTGAGGAGCTTCACCAGCTCCTGGGCACTGCAGGACGAGGAGAGTTGGGTGAAGCCCACGATGTCAGCGAAGAGGATGCTGCAGGGAGGAAGGGCGAGTGGCTCAGCCCGGGCAGGTGTGTCCCCCTTCCCCGCTCTCCTTTTTTTTGGCCACGGCACCCACGCCAGGGAAAAGGCTATTTTGGGTGACAGCGATGCTCTGCAAACCATGGCTGGAGCAATAAGAGGCCCCAGGCCGTGGTCTGCTTGGTGGCCATCCCCTGTCACCCTCCGCTTCAGCTGCAAAATGCCTCAATCTCTCTCTCTTTTCTAGCCAAAATACATGTTTCTGCAAAAAAAAAAAAGCCAGTTTTTTTCCCTAAATGGTGAATCAGAGAATCATGGAATGGTTTGGGTTGGAAGGGACCTTCAAGATTATCTAGTTCCAACTCCCCTGCCATGGGCAGAGACACCTTCCACTGCACCAGGGTGCTCAAAGCCTCATCCAACCTTGCCTTGGACACCTCCAGGGATCAGGCATCGATAACTCCCCTGGGCAACCTGTTCCAGAGCCTCACCACCCTCAATGGGGAAGAATTTCTTCCATGAATCTCATGGAAATTCTCCCTCCGAAGGGACGGCCCTACCTGACGTTCTCGTGGCGGTACATGTACATGGTGTTGAACTGCTGCATTTCCTTCTGGCTTGGGTCCTTCTTCATGTCCTTCAGCATCTCATCGGCCACATGCTTGGGCAGGATGGAGAGCATCAGCCGCTCCTGGACCGGGGCAGGGGAGAGAGTTCGGCATGACATGAAGTCAAGCCCGTGCCAAGCGCAGCAACAAGGGTGCAAATCCATAATGCAAACTCACGGTGCAAAAGCACAGTCTAAACCCCTGCTGCAAACACACAGTACAAAAGCCTGGTGCAAATGCCCAGTGCAAATAGACGCTGCAAACATCTGGTGCAAATAGTGTAAATGTGTGGTGCAAATACACGGTGTAAATGCACAGTCTAAATGCCTAGTGCAAACACATGATGCAAAAGCCTGGTGCAAATGCACAGTGCAAACGTCTGGTACAAATACACGGTGCAAATCAAATAGATGGTGCAAATACACAGTGCAAATGCACGGTGCAAATACACGGTGCAAATGCACAGTCTAAATGCCTGGTGCAAACACACGGTGCAAATGCCCAATTTAAATGCCCAGTACAAACGCACGACGCAAACCCCTGGTGCAAATGCCTGGTGTGCGCACTACAGTCTGAGCGCTCTCCTCTCCATGGGGATAGAGAGCAGCAAAGTGACATTCCCAAGCTCCTGGGCCCTCGCTGCTGGAGGTGGCCTTCTCCAGGGATCCTGGGGTCCGTAGCCCGACCTT